TTCGTAGGACATAAGGCCCGTCCTGGAGGCGGGCCAAGTCAAGCTGTTGGGGCGATTGCTCCTTGACGGGGTCATCAGAAGCCATGTCGTGTCAGAGTTTTCAGTGTTATCGGCATTGCTTCGCCATGTTTGCCAGGCTGCTCGGTTGGACGGTGGTGCTGAGAGTCGCTCGAATGCTGATCCGGCCGAGGCGATGCTGCCGGGGAGTTCGCGATGGGGGCTGGAGCTTGGCGGGCGAGGTGCTCTCACAGGTTGGTCGAGGCAAGCCAAGGCGAGGCAGGGGTAGGTACAGCCAGGTTCCTCGACCGACCTACCACATAGGTACGTACGTAGGCACCTACGTACGTACCTAAGGTACCTAGGCAGGTAAGATACCTATACGCCTGATTACGATTACAGGCCAGGTACAGTGGACTGCAGCCTCTGCAGCCACTGACAGGAGCTCTAGTGGAGGCGGGAGGCTCGTGCCTGGCTAGCCACCTACGGCGCGACTGATCCACGTCCAACGCACGGAGCCCGCCTCAGGCCACCTAACAGCCAATCAGGTGTCGGTGCCGGGGCGCTGCCGGGAACGGAACACGTTCGTCAGGAGCTCCATCATGAAATGGAACCAGAACAAGTCGCACCCCGAGATTCAATCTATCTACATCATTAGCACCGAAGCCCAACGACCTTGCTGGACCCGTCGCATCGACCAGCTCGACGCTGTCTCGTCTTTTTCCCTTGGGTAATGAGTTGATCCGCCAAAGGTAGCCACCACTGCGCCGAATACCGAACACGACCATGGCCGACATCGAAGCTCTGGTATCAGCTCAGGCAGGCCAGATCGACTCTACCAACCCCGCGACCGAAGATGCGCCCCGGCCCGAGGGTGACAACAAGTTCCAGCATGCCATCTCGGCCTGGAGGAGTAAGAACCACCGCAGCTCACGGCTCAGTGAACGAGATCGTTAACGTCCCTCTCCAGCAATCGACTACACAAACCTCATCTCGAACCTAGACAACACTGCCTCAGAGATCGTCACGTACCAGAGAGATTCCACAGTTCAGCGGAAGGATCTGGCCCAGAAGACGAAGGAATTTCGAAAGCTCGACGATGGCGCCAAATTGACCGAGATCAAGGGCTTGTTGAAAGGTATTCGAGGCCGCGTCATCCAAACGCAAAATCCAGACTGACGTTGCCGTGTCCAGCCTACCAGGGATTCATCGATCTGGTGACGAACCACTCCAAGTCAATCAACTCGACTTTCCTTCAGGCGTACACCTCTCTATCCGAGGCCCCTGACCCATACCCGCTGCTCGAGGCCTCTGTGGATGCCATGCTGGTGTCCGAGGACACGGTGCCGAAGCTATCCGAAGAAAACGAGCGCCTCCAGAAGTCAGTCAGTACGCTGACGTCGCAGCTCGAGGAAACCGAGGCCAAACTACAGACGGAGACGACGGCACGCCGGGAACTGGAGAGCAACCTCGAGACCCGAGTCAAGGAGGTCGAGTCCACTTGGACTGCTGTGGTCGAAGAGAAGAAGGGCAATTGGGAGGCCAAGGAGAAGGCCTTGGAAGACAAAGTGGAGAACCAGGAGCGTCTGCTGAATGAAATCAAAGCCAGCTATGAGGTCAACCAACGCCTCGGCAAGACTGACGACGGCGAGGAGTCGCAGGGTGGCCATGTTGCAAGCGCTGAACTTGAGATGCTCAGATCCGACGTTGAGCGCACGAGTGCCCGCCTGGCCGAGATGGAGGCCAGGAATGAGCAGCTGCGCCTGGACCTGGCCCAGGCCAAGACTCAGGCCTCGGCCTCGTCTGCCACAACGCTCGAAGACGATCCTGGCTACATGCGAATGCGATCAGAAAACTCCTCTTTGATGCGCAAGCTGGATGCCTCCAGGATCGAAAAGGACGGCATGAAACGCGATCTCGATACCAGGCTGCGCTCCATAGAGAGAGAAGTCGGCCTACTCAAGGAAGAAAGAGACAATCTCAAGGCAAAGGTCCAGAAGTGGAGCGACTACGACGACGTGAAGCAGGAGCTCGAGGTTCTGAAAAGCATCGAGTTTGCAACAGGGGAAGAGGATGACGACGTTACGGAGCGAAGTGGCGAAGACAGCTCTACCGCCAAGTCGGGTAGTGATACTCTCGAGAAGCTCTTGCTGGCACGCAACAAGAAGCTTGGCGATGAGTTGACCATTCTACGCGTCTCACACCAGGACCTGCAGTCCAAACTGCAGGACCTTCAGGAAGAGCTCTCTCGAACCAACGCCGATCTGGAGAGGTCGCAAAATCTCAACGAGAAGCTGGAAAACGACCTGGCCGATGTTCAGTCGGAGTCGACCAATGCCTTCCCATCCGGTGCCTCGGTAGCCATGAGCAGATATGCGCCCTCGGTTGCCCCTGGTAGGAGGGGCGGGGGTAGGATTTCCCCGACCTCATCCATCATTAGCGGCATCGATCCCCGCATGGGCGGTGGCGAACCCATGGGCGGCGGGTCAGGCATCCTGCCCATGGTCACGGCACAACGTGATCGTTTCAAGAAGAAGAACGCGCAATTGGAAGAAGAGCTTTCAGAAACGCATCGGACAGTGTCACAGCTTCGGCAAGAGATCGCCTCTCTGCAGAAGGACAATCTAAACTTGTACGAGAAGACTCGATACGTGTCGACGTACAACCGCGCTGGTCCATCGGCGGCGTCGTCATCGGCAGCGTTTGGCTCAAACCCTAACCCCTCGACGGTGCCCATTGGCGGCTCCGGCACACCAGGCATGGCCATGGACAGATACCAGAAGGCGTACGAGTCCAACATTTCACCGTTTGCACAGTTCCGCGGACGAGAGTCGGCGAGAGCGTACAAGAAGATGAGCCTACCGGAGCGCATGGTGTACACGATCACGCGGATGGTGCTTGCGACACGCACGAGTCGAAACCTCTTCGCTTCATATTGCGCGGCGCTTCACCTATTGGTCTTCATATCGATGTACTGGCTGGTTATGACAGACGTGGACCACCATTACACGGCCATGACGAAGTCGGCCGTGGGCGGCTCGGTGGTGGGAGGGGTCGTCGACGGAGGGATAGCGGGAGAGAAAGACTGGTCTCAGTAAGGCATGGCGGACCGAACCATGGCGGCGCCACGTCTGGCCCTGCGGGCGGGACTGTCCCCAAGCGCCGTGCGGCATCCTCTGCCCCCCTTTCGCGGCGCTCGGCAGGTTGAAATCAGGTTTTCGGCGGCTGGGTTGATTTAGGGTTCTCCGTGACACAGTCGGTAGTCGGCATTGCCACTCAGGCGCATCCACGATGTGGCTCACATGGTCTGCACCGCCTGGATACTGCAGAGAGCTGAGACTGGGCCTTATCTAGCCAGTATAATATCATATGGATCAACCATCGTCTCGATAGTGATCTGTGCATCATGTCGTGTCAGTTAGCCAGTCGATGCACTTGTTGGAAGAGATGTTGCCAAGCTAGTCATGCCTTCCCTTCTTCCAACTCGTGTTCGCTACCCTTTAGTTCAGAAAAGTCAGTGGCGGTCCATGCTTGGACACGCCGCCGATTGAGCGCATATACGGCCAAGTAAGTTCCTCACGCTTCACAAGTTGAGTTTAGGCATAGAAAAATCAAAGCAAGCTACCTGGGAAGTTGTTTTACCGCCGGCCGTTTTGCGCGGCCAGATGGGGCCTGCAAAAGCGCGTCGAGACTCTGGGGCCAATGAGGAAGCGTAGCAGGACTGTCCTGCATGGCCGCGTCCGGTAATTGGAGAGGGAGGTGGTCGGCTGTCTGGTGAGGGACGCTCGTGGCCAATCGATGATACATTAGGGGATTTCGGCTATTTTGGGGAGGCGGGAGCATAGACGCCTGGTGTTTTTCTGTGTTTCCTCGACGGGCGGGGATGTCGATAGTAGTGAAGGCGTGGCTTGCTTGGACCGTTGAGCGAAGTTGGTAGGAATCTGAGCTACTGATACCTATTTACTTACCTACCTAGGCAAGGTACTTGATGTGGGCATATACAACCTGTGGTGGTGAGTCAGCTGTGTGAATGTTGCTGCCTCGAGATTCATATGAAGTGGACATGGCCTGCTTTGGTCATTGGTGCGTGTCTGCCTCTCGCTGGTTGAGCATCACAAATCAAGACGAGCATGGTGGGATGTTAGTGGATTGAATGCTCGTCATTGGCATGGAAGAAAGAAACAATATGGGATAGTATTGTCATCCCTTCGGTTCGCATAACCCACGACCGTGGTTCAAACCATGGCATCTCTCGCCTGCACCAGACTGGACGGCTTCCAACCTTTCTGTAGAACAAAATGCCATGTCCGAAAATAGATGCGCCCGATCGGTTTCCCATCTTACAGACTCCAGACTCCAGACTTCCAGACTCTAGACCAGCGTTGCCGCCCGGGCGCTTGCATCCCAATACGGCGACGATCGCCCAGCCACTCCCGGGCCAGGGAACCACCCGCACCCGCTGTGGCACGGGCGGCTGTCAGTCTTGGCTTCTCCGGACGAACAGCATCCACCCGTCGAACCCACCCTCGCCTCGGTGCCATGGATCCCCTGCTCGTGTCAGGGCGTCTGCAGAAGAGGGTACCTGCAAAGCGCTCTTGCTGGCTCGTGACACGGCGATGCGCTGCCGCCGGGTCGAGGTGTCAATCGTGGTTCCTTCCCGTGCGTGTTGTGCCTCGTGCCTCGTGGAACGTGGTATAATAGACGTTGGCGCCCTGCTACACGGCAGCAATCATGAGTCTTCTCGTTTTCCATACCACTCTGCAGCTCGTGTCCATATCAAGAGGCTGGAACCTTTTTCCTTCTGTTGGTTTCATTCGTCTCTTTCCTATTCATTCCTCTCGGTCTCTGGTTCTTTGGGTTTTCCTTTCGTGATCTGGGTAGGTGCTTCTCCATATCCGCCATCAACGACGACGCCCTCCTGGTCGCCATAGCTACGAATACAAACTCGCCAAAACACTTCAACCATGCGTTTCTCAACATTTCTTGCGCCGGCATTGGCCGCCATGGTCCTGGCAGCGCCCCGGTACCCGGAGCTCGAAGGCGACAACACCCCGCCCCGCAGCATGGAAGCCATGTCCGAGTACTTCACGCTCCTCGCATCCAAGGTCCAGGCAAGCCGCTACACCACGCGTGCGCCCTCGTGCGACCTCTCGCAAGCCAGGATGCCCATCGGTAAGTGCTAGTCGCGCCGTCCACTGCCACCCACTAACAAAGCCCACCAGCCCCCGAGCCTCTCCCTCCTGTTTCCGAGGGCCTGACCCTCAAGCACGTCGCCGTGGGCCGCGGCACCCAGAACTACACCTGCGACGTCGGCAACGCAACGGCCGTGCCCCAGGCCGCCGGCGCCGTCGCCTCGCTCTTCAACGTCAGCTGCATCGCCGTCGCCTACCCAGACCTCCTCGCCCTGATCCCCAAGGTCTCGATGCAGTTCAACCTCTCGACCGAGCCGCTCCTCCCCGGCGCCAACAATCATCGTCTTGGACCCAGCAACGCCGTCTTCGCCGGCGACCACTTCTTCTACGACGCCAAGACGCCGTACTTCCACATCCGCGAAGGCGACCGCGAGATTGGCGACACGTACTGCGGGCTCAACTCGTCGACGCCAGCGCCTGCTACTTCGGCTGTGGGCCAGAGGGGCGAGAAGGCCGTGGCGTGGCTGAAGCTCCTCACCAAGGACGGCAGGACAGCGGGGGACATCCAGGAGATCTACCGCCTCACGACAGCCGGCGGAAGCCCGCCGAGCTCGTGCGCCGGGCAGCCTGAGAGTTTCCAGGTGCAGTATGCTGCTGCGTAAGTTTCTTCTCCCTTCTGCCCGCGCCCCCAATGGCTGTGCTCGTCACAGAAGCTAACGCGCGTCTGTAGGTACTGGTTCTATGCGGGACCCGCGCCGGACACGGAGGACGAGGACGAGGACGAGGCGTAGAGTGGCAGCAGTAGGCGTTTATTACTTGTTGGGCGGCCCATTTGTTTTCCCTCCTGTTTTCGCACCCTGTACGGGAACTTTTATTCCAAGCTCTCCAGTGGCAGGTGCATCTTCCGATGTAGGCTAGAGTACTCCTATAATTGCCAACTTGGCCATGTTGGTGCGTATCGAGTGGCTCCTTTCTGCGACGTCTTGCACGGTCGTTCTTGAACGTTAATTTTTATGTTCTTATATTCTTGAAGAGTTTGGTGCATTCGAAAATCATTTCTCCGATGGCATCTCCGAAAGAGTACAAAACACACCGTGGCTGGCATGGTCATGGTGTTGGTGAAAACTGTCAATGGTAACAGCAGCGGCTTGGGCCCCATTTGACTTTCTCTGGAGATCGTCGCGGCCAATGCACCCCGCTGACGACATGCGGCCCCTCCACTTGGCTGGCCCAGACGCTGATGCCAACCGCCAATGAACGGCAGCATGCCGATACCGATAAGAACATTGGGTGGGGGGGTGCCTGAACTCTGCTGCTGTCGAGGAGCAGACTGTGTCGGCATTAACAAGTTGCAGTCACTTTCCTTAAGTAAACCTTGTCGCCGAGCCCATCACAGGGCCTACGTCTCAATCGCGTACCGACAAATTCCATGCTGCAATAAAACCATGACGATTTCCCATTATGGGGGTCCGATGTGCTCCATGAGAACATTGGATTGACGACACTGCTGCCTCCACCCACTTTCCTACCTTCTTACCTTGCCCTGCCTGGGGTACCTACCGTACCTTACCTTACGTCTGTCGGTCACTTGCGTTCCACCTTCCATCAACGACCAGCCCTTCGAGTTCTCGATAACTGGACCGGCACCACCGACTCACAAGAAGTCTGGTATTCGGTGGGTTTCACACGATGCCGGGCCATCGATCGTGGCGATCCTCAGGCCGTCGGCCTGCCAGGTCCGCCTTCTTGCACAAATTACGGAGATGGCCCCCAGAAGACTCCCAAAACCACCTCGCCGGCGGCCGTCAGCCGCTCACATGGCCTGCCAATGCCATCCCCATGGAACTCTTTATCGAGATTACGTCCTTCCTCTCGAGGTCTGACGTCGAGAATCTGCGGGCTGTCAATAAGGAATTCGAGCTCAAGCTTGCCTCTCAGTACTTTCGCAACGTCGTTGTTCCATTCAACGCAGAGCTCTACACGGCCCAGAGCAACGAGGCAAGAGACGGCGACCACCAAGCAGCCACGGCGCAGACTCTCTCACATGCCGACAGCATCTTATCCAACGGGATGCGCATCTTTCAGTCCTTCGGTCACCACATTGTCCGCTTCGCCCTCTCCCTCGAGATCAGCGAGGACCACCTGGCCTATCCCCCCGTCAAGACTCTTCAGCAGGCCGTCCCCACCTACTGGGGTATCTACCGCTGGCCTGTCAACTCGTATGCTCGCTACGCCGAGATCGAAAACCTCGAAGACACGGCGGACGAGACTCTGCGTCTGAAAGAGGCACTGACCAGTCTTACTCAGGTCAAGGATCTTGGCCTGAGCTGCGACGCTGGCCTGGGCTACCTTTGTGGACCAGACCGGGACACCCGCATACTCCCTCCACCACATCCCGTCTTCGGCCTGCGTAATGTGTCCTATGGATCGCTTCAACTGCCGGAGCAACGGCCGAGGAGAACCGCTGTTCAAGGTCCCCGAGATACCAAGCTTAGCGTGCTTGAGTCCATGGTCAGACGAGCCGGTTTCACCGAAGCACAAACCCCGGACGCCATCGAGACTCTGCTGAATACCGAAGGTGCCACGCTGTCTGGAATTGAATTCGATGAGAGGGCCGTACCTACGCCAGCCCCGGCGCCGACGACCGTCACGCCCACGGCCCAAGATCCACTCCCAGAGGTGACAAGACCTGCGCCCAACCCAGACAACGTGCGGAGGCTCACTATCCTCCAACAACGTTGGGGCAACCCGCCCGCCACGTATCCGTTACAACCCAAGGAATTGACGAGGGGCCAGCTTGAGATGATCCTGGAGATGGACTGGGCTCATCGAGCCCTGATCCAGTCCTACGTTATCGCCATCCTCGATCACTCACGTGCCTCCCGGTTCAGTTCGCTGACGTCTTTGACCATTGCCAAAATCCCCAGCAGCCACATCAACATGTTCCAGAGGCACGATCTTTGGGATAGTCTGCCCACCCTGCGGAACCTGACGCTCGCCGTCGTCCCCGACTGGCGTGCCGTGTCTAAGGCTTCTCCAGAACATTCGGTTGAGGAGACGACCATCTCGCCTCTCCTAGCTGTCAACTGGGTGTTCGTACTACTTTCCGAATACATCTCTCACCGACGAAACATTACCTTTTTCCACTTTGAGTGGATCTGCGGTGGCGAGTTCGCACCTGGCGTCTACCAGCGGAATAATTATGTCCTTCCTGCACCCTTTTGCCATCCTACCGCCATGTTCGAACCCCACACAGCCATCAGTGGTCCGATACTTGCTTTGCCGTACATTCGACATTTCTCGCTCAAGAATTGCTACGCCACCCCGCACGTTTTGAACCAGGTCATACGTACCATGGCTTTGAGCTCTCTTCAGACTCTTGAATTCGAGAGTGTGTCTTTGACTGGGCCTCTACGGTTAAAACCAGTGCCGACAACGGCGATGGATGACACGCAGCCTGCTTTCCAACCAGCCGTTGTGTTCGGATCCGTCGCGGTGGCCGCCGCCAACCAGGTGGCTATTCCAACCCTAATCCAGGTCGATGAGAGCGACTCAGATGATGATGTAATCATTGTAAGCTCAAACATCGGCTTCCGCCTCCCCAGCCAGATGTCTTGGGCAGGGTTCATCAATCACTTCACGCCGGGGATGACGGTAGAGGGCCTGGCAGCGAGCCTGCCGGCAGCCGGACGACCCAAGGCATCTGGGCCGAGGCTTCGTCATTGGTTACCTGAAGGGGACTCATTCAGAAGAGAGCGCAAGAGTGGTCTCTACAAGCTGAAGAGCATATCCTTCAAGTCGTGCGGTTACGCTCGTCACGTCGAGGTCAACACCATCACCCCGATCGACAGCGAAGAACCTTGGGCCGATCATGACGTCGCCATGCGGAGAAAGGAACTCGAAAACTTCATGCAGGTCTGTGGCGACCATGGCATTGCCAAGATTGTCAACATGCTGTCTTCGGATGACGAAACTCACTTCGGAACTACTTGGAATATGACGCAGGGATGGACCGGTGTGTACGATGCCGGAAAGATCAGAGACGCGCAGATGGATGGCATCCTGGAACCAGGCCGTGGCCGTTTCAGCGGCTTCGTCACGGGTCCCAGGCCTCCGCTTCCAACTGGGCTGTAACAGCGTTCCGAAAGGAGGCAACATATCGCCACCGTCAAAGGTGGTCTTTTACGGAAAATGACGCTTCTCGCTCGCCCTTCGATCTGGGTGACGATACAGTCAAGGATACCGGTGGCCATGATTCGCTCGGCCTTGGCAACCCTTATCTCTGTCGAGTGAAACGGACACGACTTTGGCGAGAGCTGAATACGACGAACTGCATTTTGATTTTGATGAGGAGACACAGAAACAAGAGACTCGTAGGCTGTATTATACGAAAAGGGCTGGGCGGGTTTCTGGTCATGGGAGTCTCAGAGGCACCCGGCGTTTGAGGATGGGTTATGCAGGCAAAGGATTGCTTCGGAGTGCACATTACTCTTGGATGATATCTCACGAAAGATTCAATGACTTACGGGTTATGGAACGACGGATTATGAGGGGATGAAGCTTGGGGGCGTGCATTGCAAAAGCAACTGCGAGTTTTGCTCTATTTCAGTTCGGCTTAATTGAGGCGTACGACTGATGGGTATCTACCGATTTGAAGAGGTCTCATTACATGATTTTCAGCCATTGTTTCCATGCATTTTCCATGCATTCTCCAATGCATGTTTATGGATCGTGGTGCCTGTCACGATGATGTCCTGCAAGCCACACCGTGTACATGTTGGTGCTGATTACAGCGTGCTTTAGTTGAACAGACTTTGAAGCCAAAATCAGTTCCGGCTTTCTAAGAAGGTACGCGGCCGCGGAGGTGATGTAGTTGTTCATGAAGATGACAATTGCCATCATCTGACCGTCTCTCAGCAATTGGAACTCCAGACAAGAAATCAGAAGAAAGGAGGCCTACACGGCGTGACCACAGAGCCTGGGAAAGGGTTCGGCAGCACGGGAGGACGGGGCACGTCACTTCACAGGAGCAAGCAGCAGGTCATGATTCATTTGCCTTTCAGTGTATTTCGGAGAGCCCTCTCGGAACACGAGCATTTTTTGTCTGTCGCATGCCAATCCCTAAAATGCCATGAATCACCATAGCCTTTCCCAGTTACACCATAGCAAATGAACGAGAAAGAAAGCCGCAACGCATAAGGATGGGGGCCATATGCATTATTCGCAATTTCGTTTCCCGCCCGACCGACGCCCGCCCTGTTGTTCCGCTTGCCTCGAACCTGGCCCTCCTGCCTCTCGCTTTGTCTAAAACCCGACCGGGCAGAAAATTCACCAGGGGGCCCTCAAGAGAAATGATGCGTTTGGGGGAAGAGATCATGTCGCTTAGGCGGAGGTGATGGCCTTGCGGGCGCGGACACCGCGCTGCCTGGAGGAGAGGTGCTCACGGCCGACGACGGCCTCGGACTTCTGAACGACCTCCTCGCCCTCGGTGAGGATGAGCTCGATGTGGCAGGGGTTGGACATGTAGGGGTTGATCTGGACGCGCCTGTTAGTCTTCGCCGTCTCTGTGCGTGCGCGAGTGACGTGGGGGTGGAACATACGCGGCCGTGGGCACGGTACGTGCGCCTGCGCTGCTTGGGGGCCTGGTTGACCTGGATGTGCTTGACGACGAGGTTGCCGGTGTCGAGGCCCTTGGCGTCGGCGTTGGACTGGGCGTTGCGGAGAAGGCCGAGGAGGAAGTCGGCAGACTTGACGGGCCAGCGGGCCTTGGAGACACCGAACTGCTTGCCTGGGAGTGGGTTAGCGATTGGCATTCAGTGCGGCTAGTTGACCCCCGTTTGCTCGTTGGCTCATATTGCAGATGGGTTCTGCTGGTGGGCTCTTCCGCGACCCCAGCAGATCCAATCTTGCACATGTGTCCAAGGCAAGCGGGTCAAAAATCGTATCGACGTACCCTGGGCGGTGCGGCCGGTAGAGCCGGCGTAGCGGCGCATGGGGACGGCCTCAGTCTTCGTTCTGACGTTCTCGAGGAAGGTCAGGGCACGCTCCAGCTTCCAGCCGTTGATGGCCTGGGCGGTCTCGCGAGTGTTCTTGAAGGACACACGGAGGTAGGCACCGCGGGCGCGGGCCGACTTCGCGGGCGCGATCTCGGTGGCGGCGTATCGAACCTACATGTCGCAACCGTGTCAGTCCCTCCGTATCTCTGCCAGTTGTGGTTTCTCGTTCCCCTCCCAGCGCGTCATGTCTGCCAGCCGAAAATCTTCCCATATCCTCGACCCCGCGGTCCTGAATTGAAGCAGGCACGCGAGGCCTTCCGGAAATGTAGAATCTTTGACGGCTGCGAGTCGATGGTCGGTCCGGGGCTTGGAAGGGCACTCACCATCGTGATTGCTGGGTGAGGTGATGGTCGTCGACGGTTCGGTTTGGTGGACTGGGCGTTGAGGTTAGGAAGATTTCAAAAGTTGCTTGAGGGACCTGCTCTGCTCTGCTCTGCCGGGGCTGGTTGGTTCGCTTACCGAATCAGGAAGGGTGCAACTTTGACTGTAGGGCTCTACCCTATGAGTTTTTGGGGTGCGCGAGAGGAAAGGGCCTTGCATCTGTCCGGCATGGGGCCAGTGAAAATTGATTTTGTGCCCCACTTCACGTTTGTGCGAGATGGCTTATCTTATCACGGATATGGAAAATCGCAGCGCCGAGCAGGCCAATCATTTTGCTGCCCCACCAAAGGCGGATTCTGCATGGAGCTTGGTCCGAGCTCTCGACCTCTTTGCAGCTTCGACAAGAAAAAAGTCTAGAGAAAAATTTCACCAGCCGGATTGTTATCTGCAGCAGCCTGTCCGCAGTACGACAAGATCCACCACTTTCGTCCTCTCCCACTCAATTCACTCGGACGAACCCAGAGGTGTCGAGATTACGACATCTACTTGAAGCTTTGTTTCATCGTATCATACCTACAACAGACATGGCTCCTTTCCGAGGCGGTGGCGGTGGCCGTGGTGGTTTCGGTGGTGACCGTGGTGGCCGCGGTGGCGGTCGCGGCGGTTTCGGTGATCGTGGTGGTCGCGGTGGTGGTCGTGGAGGTGGCCGTGGCGGCTTCGGTGACCGTGGCGGTCGCGGTGGTGGTCGCGGTGGTGCCCGTGGTCGCGGTGGTGTTGGCAAGCCGAGGGGTGGCCGTGGCGGCGCTGCTGGCGGCCAGAAGGGAGGCCAGAAGGTCATTGTCGTAAGTTGAGCTCGTCAATTGGAGCCGTTTGTGCTCTACTGACCTGAGAAACAGGAGCCCCATCGCCACGAGGGCATCTTCGTTGTCCGCGGCAAGGAGGACGCCATTGCGACCCGCAATTTGACTCCCGGCGAGTCTGTCTACGGCGAGAAGCGTGTCTCCGTCGACAACCCCGTCACCAACGAGGACGGCACCACCACCAACACTAAGATCGAGTACCGCGTGTGGAACCCCTTCCGTTCGAAGCTGGCTGCCGGTGTCATCGGTGGTCTCGACAGGATGTACTTCGGCCCCGGCTCCAAGGTCCTCTACCTTGGTGGTGCCTCTGGTACTTCCGTCTCCCACGTTGCCGACATTGTCGGCCCTACCGGTTTCGTTTACGCCGTCGAGTTCTCTCCCCGCTCTGGTCGCGACCTGATCGGCATGGCTTCCAAGCGCACCAACGTCGTTCCCATTGTTGAGGACGCCCGTCAGCCTCTCAAGTACCGCATGATCATGCCCATGGTCGACTGCATCTTCGCCGATGTGGCCCAGCCCGACCAGGCCCGTATCGTCGCCATGAACGCCCACCACTTCCTCAAGGTTGGCGGTGGTATCCTCATCTCCATCAAGGCCAACTGTATCGACTCCACGGCCCCTCCCGCCAAGGTCTTCGCTCAGGAGGTCGAGAAGCTCCGCGCGGAGCGCATCACCCCCAAGGAGCAGCTGACACTTGGTACGACCTGCCCCCCCTGTTCCCTCGATTGATATGCGTGTGACTAACAATCTTGTCCAGAGCCCTTCGAGCGTGACCATTGCCTGGTCGCTGCTGAGTACAACCGTTACGGAAAATAAGCTGGTGTAGTGTGTGATGCGCAGGGTTGCGTGCGGGCGAGCTGTTGACTTGTACATGACATGCGAGATTCCCACGATGTTCGGCTTTCTTGCGTTCTCGGTTACTTGGGTCGGTTGGGCTTCACCAAAGGGCAGGCGTTGTAAGGTTTCAGGATTGTCTCGTTCAGCTAAATTTTCAGCCGAATTCAAGACGTTTAGCATATGACGCGTAGCTTCTGTCTACTTGGAGTGAACGTTCGAAGGGAATGGGAGTGCTCTTGGACAAGCGCTCCCACGACCGATGAGCGACTGGGATACAACTTTCGACAGCACGCATCTTTCTGATGGTAACACGGTCCGACAAAACTTGCTAATTCGCAGGCCTGGATTTCAGACCATTTCGGCAACATGTGGTCTCCCCAGCAGCTACCTGGCTGGTCAATATGAACCCACTGGCAGCTCGAGCGTCACAGATCCTTCATGAGACACCGTGTCTCCGTGTCAGGATATGTCATCCTGGAGCTCAACCGCAGATCCCCAGCTCATGCTTCTCCTGGGACATGAATCGGCGGGGTTCTGCTGCCATTCGCCTCTCTCCCAGCTCCCTGTCCCAAGCTCAAGGCCAAGACCCAACCCCTCGCATATTCTCACCAGTATCAGCGGTTCAGGTTGCCAGTCCATCGGCTCTGGCTGCCCCTCATGCGCATCTACATCCTCAGCCCAGTCATCGATAGTCCACCGCGCCTGCTGAACAAGCCTGTTCAGATCGTGTTTCAACTGAAGGTTTCGCCGGTGGACACGTGCTCGTTCGCCGTCAAACTTGGCGTGGGCGTGGGCGTTGAGATCGGGCGGGGAGCGTTTCGGCCGGGTCTCTCGCGGGTGGCTACCACGACTGTGGTTCCCCTCGCGGCCACCGCGGCGTTCTTGTCGTTGCTCGTGGCCTCGCCGGGGTCTCGCGTCGGGCAAAGACTGTTGCGATAGTTGGTCTGACGATGGAGGGCTTGGAGGCACGGCCAGCATGTCCATGTCGCCGTCCGAGTACACGCGGTTGAGAGCACGCGCATCCAACCTAGACGAGGCTGGGCGACGGTTGCGGTTCGGGCGCGTCTGACCCGACCCACGCTTATATGTGAATTTTGCTTGGTTCCATTTCCTTTCGAGACGATGCTGGTTCTGGCCCGATTTGTGTTGTTCTGGGATCGCCTCATGGTTGTGTGATCTGCCTGTTGGGTGACCTGGAACCAAGATTTTGTTAGGCCCGTGTCTGGATAAGCCTGATCGTGGAGACATCGCTGGACGGAAAGTGTGACTGTCTGATGGCCGTCTTTTCGGTTTGAATCCGGGGAGCTTGATATTCAGCCCTGATACATTTACTCTCCAACCTCGAAAAAAAGCGCAGGCGGCCCATCTTTGCGACCGTGGCCCCTTAATAGACCAAGTTATCACTTTGTGCGTTGTATCGAACTTGGCTCAAAGCTTGAGAAGTAGAAGATGGGGTCGAATGTGTCACGAGGCTTCTCGCGAGCTGTGCCCACTGGTAAATAGACAATCAAGCGTAGACAAAGAACAAGGCTTTCCCTGAGTCGATGCTTTCAAAATATGATCCCACTAGAATCGGAGTTGTGAGGTAATGACCCATTTGTCTCATATTTGTGAATGAAAGAGAGCATCTTATCAACTGAGATGGCTTGCTTAGAGACATAGTTCTCGGCGCATCGCATCGCATGGGAGGCTAACAATGGCGATGCACTGTTGGCACGAGACACACTCTGTTGGCTTGTTTCACGCAGCAAAGTATGGGTCAGGCCGTCTACATTTAGATAGAGCTAGAACTGACGCCTGGTGTTATCGTGACGCTGTCCGACAACATCAACGTCATTCCAATTTCTTCGACGAAATCGTCAAAGCTACCAGATGAGACCAACAAGTCAACGAGGAGTGTGACGAGAATACCATCACTGCAGGACCTCTTCCCGAGAGACATACTTGGGAGGTAGTCCAGTGGATGGACCGGAGGTGGCTTCAGCCGAATCAACTCAGCCTGATGGTGGCCAGCTAAGATTTACTTGTGTTGGGCTTGCCCAAGATTAGAGAATAGAAAGGACAGCTGGTGGCTGGATTACCAGCAGTGCTCCCGCAGAAGCTGTGTATCAACGTGACTTAATAGCCCTGAAGTAAACAAGGTAGCGGCCCATGTCTTCGGCAAATCTTTGGACGAACGACTGCCAGTCATGGCTCTCTGACACGGGATTGCCTTCGGAACGACCGCATGGCATGAATTAGCAAGGGCTGTGAACAGATGATTGCCACGTGAAACCCCGGCATGCGTCGAGGTCACTGGGCTAGCCTGCTTCGCGGTGTTATGCCCGCATACCATACCGTCGACCATGCCCACAGGGCTGGCTCTTCGTCAACCAACATTGTGGCTTGCTGAACAGTCGGTGCAGCCTAGTTTGGCAGGCCGAGAAAGGGGGAAAGAGAGGCTTTTGCCAAAGGCTAAATGAACCCTGACGATACAGGAAGCGCACGGGCAGAATCCTTGTCGTACCTAGAACAGCTTGGGTGAGGTTCGCAAGCGATGAGCTGTCTTGGCAGGCAGAGGAACGCTACATCTGGCATTGGTCGCCGCGCATACATACCCCTCCGATGATCAATGGCGAGCTACATTGCCACAACACCTGTCGTGCTTCTGGTTGACGTGACTCGCGGTCTGGAGGCTCAGTTGTGTGACGCAGGATCTGAGTCTCCATGTCGGACGGCACGTCGACCACCCGCTTGAAGAGGCTGGGATACTACAGGGTCGGTTCAGCATTGTGCTCTGACAGCCACAAACCGGGCGAGCATCGTCCTCGCCTTGACGACTTACGAGAGACTAAGGTACTGTACTGTCCGTCAGATCGTGTCCCGAACCGAAGTCTAGGCTAGATTGCAGTGCCGTGTGAGTGGGGAGGAGTTTCTCCAAGCAAACATTACAAATGACAGCAAGGAAGATCGGAAAATCTCGTCGCGTACCTTAGATAGAAGCTCGGTAGTGATCAATAGTGGGCTAGGAAAAGGGGGCGTGTCCCGTCACATCTTGGAGCTTGGGGATCGAAGAAATGAGCACAGATTTCTGGCCCTCGAAGATGCAGGTACAGCAAGGGAAAGGAGGCAGTCGTGAGTCGTTAGCTGCTGACGACAGAACCTGCCGTCATGATTCGATCAGGTACGTACCCACCATGTCCAGGGCAGGTGCAGGTGGATAAGTACCAAAGCGGGGCAGCTACCTCCTCGATCGCCTCCACAATGGTCGGGAAAGGACCTACAAAAGGTACCTCGCAGGAAGGGACTGAGGGCTGGCCACACCTCCACTTTCCCCAGCTTGCCCAGACTCAGCTCCATGCCCAGACCTCCCAATTGCCAGGCACAACCTTGGACCCCGCAGCATCTTCCCTGCTCCCCCAGTCATCCCCCGTCTGCATGCACCACATCAGCCTGCTTCCGCCTTTTACCAGGTAGACTTCTGGTTGAGCACCACCCCCTCTCCAGCTCAGAAACACTGACGAGCCGAACCCTGGAGGCCAAAGGTGATAGCGTCTCGACGTGCAACCCACCTGGGACTCGGGACGGCAACTCGAACTCAATTCACAGCAAAAGGATGTAGATGGGTCTGTCTGTTGGTCACCCCGTCTCATCGTCGCCTGCGCCGCCTGTGGCGCTCGGCCTAGGCAACTTTTAATCAACGTTCACCCATGGTTAGCGAGTACGCATGGATTCTCTTCCTTGCCCACAAGGTCTAGCTAGCAGAAGAACGATTCTGGCAAGGCGAAAACCCTTCAGCGTCCTCCCCAACGTGGCCAATGGCTGGCTCGGTTCCCCAAAACACAGTAGCATCACAGCCAGCCACTCGTCAAGCAATCAGACGACGCAAGCGAAGGCCTAAGCAAGATAGCTGCATCAGCGACACCATTCCGGTCATCTCAAACAACCCGGCACAACCGCTAGCCATGCCGTGGCGTCCTCCACGTGGACGAAGCAACCCAAGTCTGGCCCCGATCCCCCTTTCAGGACCATCCTCCGTCCGAGGTCTGGACTTGTGTGACGGCGAGGTCGTCTGAACTGGTAAATTGTCTGTTCACCCAGACACCATTGAAATCACCTCGCAATTTTCCCTTTGTCGTGCCTCGCTGCCTGTCGTATCAGTTACACGGGCAGCCGAATCTGTCACTCCTGTCGCACTGTTGCCACCGCTTCCGGAGGGCCGTTCACTCTCCCGACGCACGTTTGGCTTCAAGACTTTGGGGAGCGACCGAGCGGTAGTTTTCGTCGACGTGGATTCGACGCGGCTTCAGTCTGGGGCCATCGGCGCATACGACATTCTTCCTTGGTTGCGTCTTCCTCACTGCACTTCAGATATTAACCTGAAGCACCATGACCAACTCTAAATGAGGAATCTGAGAGCAACACGGAGCGGCCGTGCCAACGAGGCAGTTGGCTGGTCATTGCACATGACTGGCACCATGTTGCGTGGCTTGACGGGGGTATTACGCCCCTGCTCGTGCGCTGAAGAAACCAGCGACACTAGGCAGGCATCCTCCTCGCTCGAGTCGCGATTTCTGCTGTCCACCATGTCCGCTACGATCAGCGGTAGGCGCTAGACTAAATCTTTCAGGAGATCATCGGTGGGTTTTCCACCATGGCTGTTCAGAGATGCTTACCCGGAGAGCATTTCATTGTGTAAGGTAATCATTGGTACAAGATGCATAGGGTCATTGTCCCATGCCTATGTCCCCACACTAACTCAACTCAGCAGATCCCACCATCCTGACGATTTCGCAACTAGGAGGGCTGGTCATCCACTCGAGGCATCACATAAGGCAGTTTGTTGCGGTTCGCGCCTTGGCATATTCCACTTCAAATTCTGTGGCAATGGTTCGTGGCTGTACTATCCCGGGACAATAGCAACCCTCGGTGGACCGGAGCTTGAACCCTGCCAGCCACACACATGGTACATGTGCATCCCATGTCGTGCCATGCGTTGC